CGAATGGTCGGATCTCTAATATTGACCACAGTCTGACCCTCTGATTCCTGAACAACTCTTCCTCCTTCATTTCTACTGATCGGTTGCTTACATTTTTGTTCATTCTATCCTCCATTATGTTTTTGTAATTGCCTGAGGATGAATAATCGGAAGCGTTCGTTACTCTAACATGATAAGTAAAAATGCGAGCGCCGGGAAGTAATTAGGAAGGATGAGAAGCAATCGCTGGGACAGGAATCTAGTTCGCCTGATGTTTCGGACTCCTCCCCGCACCTACTCGCTGAGACAGCATGAGATAAGCGTAATTCGTACGCGGGGATTTAAAATATTTAGAGTATATTGTTACCATGCTACTGCAGACCTTATGACAACTAACGACTCACCGCCCCGCTCATCGAGGGTGGATGACCCATGGTGAGATAATGACTTAGTGGCCGAGATGCGTGTGGACATCTGCTGAAGTTTCGCCACTCGTGTTGGAGGTCGGGGTGATGATGTTTCCGCCACCTGGTTTACTGACATTGGCTTTGGCAAATGTATTCGCCTGTACGCTCCTCGAGGGGTTGAATGCTTTGGTCAACCTGAGTCTCCGCATCGAAGATGAATTGGAGAGCCATTGCACTTAGTAACAGACAGGGTCCCGTTAACCAAGACTGAAGCAATTCGAGTAAGGTTCCTGTTCCAGCAATATCCCCTACATCTTAAAAACTCCCAAATCCTTAGACTCCGGATGTCCAGTCTTGAGACATACTGTGAGTTCGACGGACAACATCTTCGAGCAGGTGAATGGCACGCCCATTGGTTCGCTAATTTCAGGACTCATAACTGAGGAAGGCATGCAGCTGTTGGAATTGCTGTTTTCCTGATACTACAAACCAAAATTCTGAGCTAGATATATGGATGATACATTGGTCGTCATCGCAAGGGATCAGGTATTCACTCTTAAAGAACATCTTAACAGCGTCTTCTCGGGTGTACAGATTACGACAGAGAAGGATCGAAACAACCACCTGGTCTTCCTTAATGTTCTTGTCTGCCGCAAAGACTGTAATGCCCTCAAGACCAGGGTGTTCAGTAGAACGAAAAATACGGCGCAAGTACTGAACTTCAACGGCAACCATCCATTCAACCGCATTGTCCAGTTGCGTAAGCACTCTACCGAAGACAAGGTTACCAAATCGCAATACCTTTGAACGATGTTCAAAGGAAATGTCTTCTCGCTGAACTTCGTCAATAGGTGCACGTCTAAAATTAGGCGAGTAACAAATTAGCACTCCTCCAGTTTCCTCGATGAAGTTGCTTTGTCTGCACCTGCACCAGATCATATAGACGACTCCAGATGTTTCTTGCCATGACAATGGGTCTTTTGGTTTCAGTATCTGATGTCTTATGGTTGCCCTGGGCCCGTGTCCGAGACCAAATCCAAGTGGTGCGAGAATGTGATCGAAGGGCTCCAATAAGTTTTGGAGTATGGAATCACTCGGTTGGAGTTTGTTGCCCATCTTGTTTGTGCATTCGCTGGTTGACGAAATTACGTGGGAAGCCATTTTCTCTGAAGATCAGTCGAATATATTGGATTTTGACAGCATTGTCTTCCGGCTCACTGCAGTGCGTCCCAACACGCCGATAAAGCGTCCTTACGTAACTGCGTTTGTGGCTGTTTCGATGGTTTTTGTTGAAGTTCAATACTTGCATCGTGTTTGTAACTTTTCTGAACATTTCGATCTTTAGACCAACACATTTTTGGCGGCAGACGAGGAAATCAAGAAGGGCCAAGTGATTATTTTCTTCTTCTTTCGTCGAAAATTGTATGCCCGGAAAGATGCTCTTGAGACGTTCTTTAAACGTGAGCACCCAATCCCATTCGATGACGACGAAGGTATCGTCCAAATACTGCCCCCAAACTTCCAATTTGTGGTGCTGAAAGACAAGCGATTCTAACCGTTTTAGGGCCGCCTCGGCTATAAGTCCTGAAATCGGTGAACTCAATGGTGTTCCCTTCACCTGCTCATAAATTGTTCCGTTAAAAGTGAACTACGTCCTGAGACAGGACTTCAGGAGCTGTGGGATTTGCTCATGTCCGAGATGATTTTTTGTTGTGTACCCACCACATGGGCCGTGCGTCACAACACTGTTCACGCTTATGTATGTCCCCTGCCCCACTTTTATTCCATTTCGTTTAATATTTTCAATTAAAATGTACTGTAACTGGGTACTTAATTTTTTAACGTCATGTCTATCGATGACTTACTGGATCCATTTCATCCATTGTTTAAACTTTCAGATATCTGGCACTCCGGTGCGGCGACCGGCCTCGACGATACATGCATTAACTTTAAACCACGGCGCTCGTTCCTGTATGATACGCATTTTATAATCTACTGCGATGTCATGCCCGGCGTGATTGATCCGCTTTTTGGACACCGGGAATGTTTTATCGCCTTTGATGCCCGACCAAAGCTGTGGAAATGTGAGCCTTGCCTTTCGATGTGCATTGTGTGTGGAGTTGCCTCATTTCTCTTCCCTCTTAGCTAGTCAGAACAAATATGATGGACGCGGTGGCTCTTACTTCATAGGTAAGCAAAATTGTCATGAATGGTAAGGTGCTCACCGAACTGCTTACGGAACTTGTTCTTCCCGTTTTGCTTTGGAGTTTAATCTAGAGCCCCCGCAGGGAGTCAGATGGCGATTTTTCGTCCATGATTACATGGAAACGAAAAAGGCAAGAGAGACTGGAATATCCATTTTGGGCTTGCTAGCTGTCATCAGCCACTCTTACCTGATCCTAGGGGTTGCGACCTAAGGGATTCGAACACGGAGTCTTTGGTCATTGAATGCCAGAAATGGCCATCCGGGTTCACTTTGTCCTTTTTAGTTCCGCTTCAACATATACTACAAGCTCCACCACAAAACGGGTTGAGCGTTTTCCATACCATTTCAGTGAGCGCTCTGCCATTTATAATATGCCCGATCGTAACCAAT